TATATATATCTTATTTAATATTTCATTTTTTAAAATTAATTTAGTAACACTTATTTTTAATGCTTATTTTAATTATTTTTCTAACACTTAATTTAGTTTTTTAATTTTAATGAATGTTTAAATACTAATTTTAATTTTTTACGCATAATGCTTATTTCATATTTACAAATTTATTTTCATTGCTTTTCAAAAAATTAATTTTTTTGCTAATTTAATTTCCAAATTTAATTGCTTATTTTTATTATTTTACAAATGTTTAAATATTTATTTAAATTCTTTATATATATTGATTATTTAATATTATATTATTTCTTTTAATTTTTTTACTATTACTTAATATAAAATAATTAATTAATCTAAATTAGCAACTAATAAATATTTCGATAAATAATATAACATTTACATCTTATATTTACAATAAATAATTTTAAATACATAATATACATTCAAATTAAGCAATTCAAATAAATAATTACATATTAGAGAACATAATATAAACCATTAATAATTATTTAATTAACTTCAGTAATTACGGAAGGAAAAAAAAAGCCTACGGCCCAAAATAACGGTCGGCTCAGTCAACTAGGTCAACCGAGCTGACCACCCCAGGTGCCCAGTTGACTGGGTACCTTCGCCCAGACGATTGAGTCAACTAGGCCGTCTGGGCGGGCCCAGACGGCGTGCCCAGCCGGCCCCTTCCATTTCTTGCCATGGAAATAGCCGGGAAACTCCATTTCCGACGATCTCCACTCCTTCCCAAACAATAAGAACCCAAATTCCACATTTACACAAGAATTTCTCAACACATATATATAAAATCATACTTTTTTCCAAAAATAAAAATAAAAACATGATTTTTTTGGTATAAAAATCTTACCTTTTTCAGAGAGAAATGACCAACTGGGTCTCCTGTTTTTCCTTCTTTATTGGTGACTGAATCGACTGTGCTATAGTACTTTTCCACTCGCATTCTGCTTCTTTTTCCTTGCAAGGGGTAAAATTGAGTTTCTCTTTATTTTTGTTGATTTTCGCTATTTTAAATAATTTTGTTTTTTTTTATTTTTTAACTGGTCAAAGGCCTTTTGGAAAATTGGCCGGGTCAACCGGCTGTCGGCCACTACTTCCTCAGAAATTCTGCTGTCTCAACACTAGTAATTCACACACATCCGAAAGCCGCCGACGGTTCAAATCTCTGAAGTCATATCAGTAGTCATTTGCTCCTACTCGCAATTCTTCACAGCGAGTTCACTGAGGAGTGAGTTATCCATATTTCTCATAAAGGTATATGCTTGTGAGGTTCCCTCGAGGATTAGGGTTTAGGGTTTTGTACAATTTTCCATCTATTTTGTATATAGATGGTGTAAAGGCAATTTACTTGTCATTTTTCTTGAATAGTTATCTTAATCTGACTTGATGAATGGCGAATTCGGGTCTGGGCATCATCTGCTGTATACACTATACATATCTATTGAAAAATGAATCTTGGTGGCATTTTAATTCTCCGTTGTCAAAATTAAAGTAGATTTTAGACACTTCAATATTGTATTTAATTTCTTCTACTGCCTATTTGTTTGTTTTTCTCTGTGTAAATTAGTCAAACTATTATTGCTGCTGTTTTACGAATGTGAAGACATTATTGTATTTGCATTTATTGCGGCTCGTATTGGCGTGTCTTGTTCTTGTAATTGGGTTAACAATGCAGCATACAGAGTTTTACCTCCTGTTTCTTCCACAGGGGACCTCTTCTCAGTTTTATCTGATCCAAGAAAGATACCTTCAAGCTTTGTTGCTACTCGTTTCTTCTACAGGAGTGGGAAAAAGTCGAGTGTTGACTAATTAGCATTAAGGACTGAATAAATTTAATTAAGAACTGGCTGATTTTTAGTCGAGTGAGTGGCATATGTTGCCTACACACACTGCCTTGCATAATGCTTCAGGTCGGCATTGCAGGAAAGGGCTCTTAAACTAACTTGGATTAATTGCACTATCCTTCTCTGGAGATTGAAAAGTAGATTAGGGTATTTGTGAATGCGCTGTCCCTCGGTAATTGGTGCTATATGAATTTTCTACTGTCAATAGTAATTCCACATTTTATTAGCATTGGCATTCTATTTCTGTGTAATTGCTAGAGATTGTTGCACATGGCCCATAGAAATGTAAAGAACTATGCACGCCCACGTGTTAATTAGGTTGGAAAGGCTGAAATATGAGAACAAGAATAATCAGGATCTCTTAAGTACCGACACGAAAGTATTAACTTGTGTATCGATTCTTCAATTGCATTTCTTATGTAATAGGGATTATGTTACAGCCTTGAAATGGTACTGAACTGGCCATCCTGTTTTAAGCTGGAAGATCATGGCTGGTCGGAATTAGGACCTCATTGGGGTTACTATTTGAAAGCTGATAAAAGTTTTGGAAAATCAACTTTTTTATTTTTCTAAAGCTCGTGCCAGTCTTTAGTCCTGTTGCTTTACCTAGTTGACTCATGATGATGATATATAGACTTTCATATTGATTTACGGTGAATAGAAGCAAAACTTGAAAGTTTTTAAATGACTTCACAGATTTTGTTTACTTATTTTGGCATTTACTTTTATTGCGTGCATAATAAAAATTCACTATTCTAGTCTAGGCTAATATATACGGATTCAATAAATACACTTATTCATTTCTCCATTTTCTGTGAAAGGGGGGACAGGGAACATAATCTCATTCCCAACGGGGGATCCTTTTTTTCTATATCACATTTCTCATCAAACAAATAGGGGGTTTTTCATTACGTCAACTACTACCGATTTTTTTGCTTGCTTAGAAATGAGAATCCCTGAACTCCTCAAGAAAGTAAAAATCTTACTTAGAATTTTGCCTTGTTCATGCCAATTCTTTCTTTGTTACTCACTCTTCTGCACAACATAAGATAAGGTTGAGTACCCTCTCGCTTGATTGCGCTTGCTTAGCTCTCTCGCAAAAAACAGAGTAACTGAGAATGAATATATGCTGTGCTTCGAGAAAATTGACATATATACTTTTATATGCATCTGATATATCTGGTTAAAACAATATGACAATTGAAATGCTATGCATATGATCTTGTTGACCAGATTGTGCATGAACATTAAGATTTCATGATATGCTATTTCCACGATTCATTTGACACCACTGTGGCAATTTAACACTTGCAGCAATCAATGTAGGAAATATGAATAAGAAGAAGAACCCGTTGGTCTTCTTAGACGTATCCATTGATGGGGATCCTGTGGAAAGAATTGTCATTGAGGTGATACCCATATCTTAAAACCCTCAGTATTTTGAGATGCTATCAATGCAAGAATTATTCATTTATATATTTGTTTGATACTTCTCCCTCCCCTTTTTGTGGAAATGTAGCTGTTTGCTGATGTTGTCCCCAGAACAGCTGAGAATTTTAGGGCACTCTGCACAGGTACAAAAGCTCAAAACTTGATCATTTTTGCTACAAATCTTATGATTTCCAATGTGTACCAAATATGCTCCATTCCTTTTCATTCCTTTTTGTTTTAGGCAATTAGTGCAAGCATACCTATCCAATAAAATGATTTGTAACGCTTCTGTGTATCAGTTTTTTGACGTTCAGAAGTAGCTTATACTAATGGGAGAAGTTGGGTGTTGTTGATAACTCGATGTATATTTTTAACGTGGTTATTAAAATTTCAGGGTGGAAAGGAAGAAATGGTGGTGGGTATGCTTGTATTTTTTGTTGTAAATAATTGTTCTTTATTATTTATAGTTGTATTCACGAATAATGTTTTTGTGTCATAAGACAGACAATTTTGGTGCGGGGACAAGGCATGAGAGTTTGCCCCTTTTTTAAAAACTCATTATCAACCATACATTTCATGGGATCAACAATTTTTGAATCCCACATTCATCCATTTTGATCAAACTCTACCAAAAATTTAATATTTATCTAAATAAAATAGGGGCGCACATTTATGGTTTAAAGAGACCTTAAATTTAGTGGAAGCGAAAATATAAACTAATATGAGAAAGAAAGTTATGTATTGACTTGATTTTGTAAGTTTACAATGTACACTTAAATAGAAATACAAGAGTGCTATTCTAGGAAATTAACAACGGTATAAAATCAAATCATAATAAAATCATCCAAACTAATTTTTCTTGATTCTAGCTTTGACTCAGTCTCCTAATTACACTCCCTTCATATTTCGTTATGATTAATACTGAATATTCTCCTTTCCAATACTCCCCCTCAAGCTGGCTTATAGACGTCTTCCATTGGTAGCTTGCTTATTAGGAGTTCAAATTGTCTCTTATGTAGTCCTTTAGCAAGTATGTCAGCTCTTTGTTGAGTAGTTGGTACATAAGGAACACAGATTAGGCCACTCTCAATTTTCTCCTTGATCAAGTGCTTGTCAATTTCTATGTGCTTCGTTCTATCATGTAGAACCGGGTTATGAGCAATCAAAATAGTAGCCTTGTTGTCAAAATAAGCTTTTATGGGAAGTGCAACCGAGATCTTCAAGTCTTTTAGTAACCTCTTGATCCACACCACCTCACAAATTCCATGTGCAAGGGATTTGAACTCAGTCTCAGCACTGTTTCTTGCTACGATTTTTTTTTTTATATTTATTTTATTTTATTTATACTTCGCCATGTGACTAGATTTCCTCCAACAAAAGTGCAATATCCTGAATTTGATGGTCTATCAATAGCGCTTCCTGCCCAGTTAGCATCTGTATAGACTTCAACCTGTAGATTATCATGTTTTCTAAGCATCAGACCTCTTCCAGGTGTTCCCTTTAGATATCTCAATATTTTGTAGGCTGCATCAAAGTGTTCTTTTCTTGATGAATGCATAAACTGGCCCACCATGTTTATAGTAAAAGCTATGTTAAGGCGAGTATGGGATGGGTAGATTAATCTCCCCACCAATCGCTGATATTTCTTACTTTCAGTCACATCTTCAGATTTAGCAGGATTGAGTTTCAGGTTGGTTTCAATAGATGTCTCGGTAGCTTTACACCTCAAATGTCCTATTTCACTAAGTAAATCAAGAATGTACTTTGTTTGCGAAGATCCTTCTTTTGATCTTGCTAATTTCGCCAAAAAAGTATTTCAAAATCTTCTGCCAACTTTTCCTTCAACCTTGCCAGTTCTTCAATGTCATCACCTGTCAAAATTATGTTATCCATATACAAAGTTAGGACTGCAGTTTTTCCCTTTGCTAAATGTTTGTAAAACATGGTATGGCCTGCTTGGCTTTGATGATAGTCGAAGCTTTACACAACCTTTTCAAAACGTTCAAACCATGCTCTTGGAGACTGTTTGAGGCCATGTAGAGATTATATTTAGTTTGCCAACTTTGTCATGACCAAAAAACTTTTCAAATCTTGATGGTAGGCACATGAATACTTCTTCCAAATTGCCATTAAGGAAGGTGTTCTTCACGTCTAACTGGTATAAGGGCTAGTTGGAATTAACGAATAGAGTTAATTTTGGCTATTGGGGCAAATGTCTTTTGGTAATCAATACCGTATGTTTGAGTGAATCCCTTAGCCACAAATCTCGCTTTATATCTCTCTACTGCCATCAGCTTTGCATTTTACAGTAAAAACCCATTTGCACTCAACTATTTTTTGGTCTCTAGGTTAATTCACAATCTCCCATGTCCACTTTTCTTTACAACATTCATCTCTTCTATCGCTTCTGATTTTGCAACCCGGATTATCAAGTGCTTCTTGAATGTTTCTTGGAACAAGCAAGTTAGAGATTTTGGATGTAAAAGCTTTATGACTTTGAGAAAGTTTTGCACAGGATAGGTATTTGGACATTTGCTGATTAGTACAAGAATGAGTACCTTTCCTAATGGCTATAGGAATGTCAAGATCACATGGATCTTGTGTAAAAGATTCATGAGGAACGGAAACATTAGTGGCAAAAATAGAAGTGCAATTAGGTAGGGAAGAGTTTATAGTGTCTGAAGTGCTTACATATTTATTGCCTGGGGTATCTAATTGATTTTGCACCAAGGGGATAGAAGGTTCTCTACTCTATTATTTTGGTGATTCTTTTTTCCTAGAATAAACCATAAGCTTAGAGTTACATCACTTATGAATAGTCCCTAGTAATTCTCTCCCTATCGAAGACTCAACAATTCTTGGCAAAGTAGCATTAGGAATGCTTATATCCCTTTCATCAGAGGGGAAAATGAGTTTAAATAGTTTCAAAATCCATGGTTTTAGGCAAAGAATTGCGAATAATTTCCCAAAAAATTTCTTTTTCACTTTGTGTCTCCCTCAAAAGAAAACTTGTTTTAAAAACAAGGTTGATGTTCGAGGAAGAACATCCATAGTAACAAAGGTTTTTTTGGTTTTTGGGTTAAAACATTTGTACCCCTTTTATTTGAAGCATAACCTATGAAGACACATTTTTTTGCCCTCGGATCAATTTTTGACCGACCCTTTCTAGAGAAGTGAACATATGTAGTACAACTGAAGACCTTTAGGGGCATATTAGATTGAATATGAATCTTAGGAAAAAAATTTAAGCACTCAATAGGGGTACTATATTTGAGATCGCGAGTTGGCATCCTATTAATTAAATATGATGATGTTAAAGCAGCTTCAGTCCAAAGATATTTAGGAACATACGTCGAAAACATAATGGCAAGAGAGATTTCAAGTAATTCTTTGTTTGTTTGTTTTTTTTTTTTTTTCCCAACAATACCATTTTGCTGAGTTGTGTTAACACAAGTAGATAGGTGATGAATACCTCTTTCGCTTAAAAAACTTCCAAGGGCCTTTTTAAAATACTCGGTGCCATTGTCAGTATGAAGAATTTCAATATTAGTTTGAAATTGAGTCTCAACAATGGTATAAAATTTTTTGAGCAAATTCTCAACTTCGGATTTTTCACTCATTAAATAAATCCAACATAAACAAGTATCGTCGTCAATAAAAGTCACATACCATTTTTCCCCAGAAAAAAGTATTGATCCTCGAGGTATCCTACACAACACTACAAACTAAATAAAATGGTCTTGAAACTTGATAAGGTTTTGAACGATAAATAGTTTTATGACCTTTTGATAACATGCAGTTTTCACAATGAAATTTAGAACAATCCCTACTACGAAATTACGTAGGAAACAATTTTTTAAGGTAGGGAAAACTAGGATGCCCTAGCCTATAGTACCACAACATTATTTGATCCTTAACAGGGATAAAAATGATAATACTTAGGCCTTGAGCTTTTTTATTCTTGGAATCTTCATCTTCTATATAATAGATATCATCTATCATTTTAGCACTCCCAATCATCTTCCCTGAGCTCTGATCCTGAAACACACAATGGGATTCAAAGAAGGTGACATGATAATTAGAATCTCTAGTTAATTTATTGACTGATAGGAGATTACATGCAAGTTTCGGTACATGGAGAGCAAATTGAAGCGATAAGGTTTTAGATAAATTTATCAAAAAAAGAGCCATCTGCCATACGGATTTTACCATGACCAGAACAAGGAATATAAGTTTGAAACAAATGTAAAAACTTGTCATGTGATCAAAAGCTCCAGAATCAATCATCTAAGGAGCAAAATGTGAAATACATGAGAGGGAATTTGATTGATTGCTTGTCTGAGAAAGAGAAGCATTAGGAGTATCCGACAATTCGGAGTTAGATTTCAGTAGTTTAAGGGTAGGATTCATTTACTCATTGCTAAAGGGAACAACTTCAACTTCATGTACAATGGATGAGCGGTTAAAGGCCATCAATGGTGGGTGAATAAACCAGTCTTCATGCTCCTTTCGAATTTGCTGGTTTAACACGGATCTTCCAACAAGTGTCATGGGTATGGCCTGATTTGATGCAGCGATCACACCAAGGATGAGGCTTCTCATCAATCTTCCTCAGATTGGTTCGACCATTAGAGAGGGCAAAACTTCCAATGGTAATGACAGATGTTTTCTTACCAAGCATGACAAGTCGACGACTTTCCTCACTATGAACTTCAGAGAAAACTTCCTCAATTGTGGTAGAGGTTGTTTGCCAATTATCCTTTACCTAATCTCATTAAACTCAACTTTAAGTCCAATAAGAAATTTAAAGATACGGTTGTCATCCACTACACTCTTATAGTGGTTACAATCATCTGGGGATTTCCACTCATGATGAGTGAATAAAACTAAATCTCGCCACAGGTGTTTCATAG